GTTGTTAACCAATGTCATAAAACAGCATGTGTGTTACTGTTACATGAGAAACTATCTGTTCTGTAAGCCTTCACCTGAAGTACAATAAAATATTTAAAAAAAAAAAGACGGCTGGGTTCCCGGCTACCACCAATGATCGCCCTGATAGGGAACACAACAGAGAGTCCCTGTTGGAGCAGGAAAAAAGTGGGGTGCAGAACTCAAATTCTAGTAAAAAGACCAGACTTAATGGTTTGACTGAGACTGGAAGAACCCCAGAAAGCATGGCCTCCGCACTGTCAACTCAGAAGTAAAATAATTCCCGACGCCAACTCTTCAGACAAATATTGGCCTGGACAATGGGACATAAAATGATACTCGTGAAGAGGGTGCTTCTTGGCTCAAGTAGATACATGAGAGTAAACGGGCAGCTTCCGTCCGGAGGTGAGATGAGAAGGCAGAGAGGGTTAAAAGCTGGTTGAATGGGCACGGGAAATCAGGGGTGGAAAGGAGGAGTGTGCCGTTACAGTATAGGGAGAGCAATTAGGGTCACATAACAATGCATGTATAAATTTTTGTATGAGAGACTAACTTGAATTGTAAACTTTCACTTAAACTACAATAAAATAAAAATAAAGAGACGGCTGGACGGCTGGGTTCCAACCACCCACCGTTCAGTTAACAGCGAAGCGCTTAACCACTATGCACCAGGCTCTAAGTCTCTACCATTAAAGCACAAATTAAAATGTTAATATAAATTGGTGAAGCGAGCAATTAATGCAAGCAGCATAATATGACTGAAAGAGCACAACTGACATCTGTTAAAAAGGGGCGGGGGCAAGAGAAGCCAAGGACTGCATTTATGGTGGTTCATATGGTTTTACGACAGTCACTTAAATAAGGCTTTAGAAGTAAAAGTGTAGTTTATTACTACTCTTCCTCTATCACCAAGATGCCTCACACCCCAGTCAGTTCAGCTAGCCAAAACGGTATTCTTGGAAAAAATTCTGTTATTTGATGACAATGCAAAAATTAAATGACCTGCCAAAGGTCAGACGATTTATCCGGACCAAATCCTGATATCATGATTTCCCGTGCAGGGCTCGCCTCTTTCCAGGCCACTGGGTAGCAAGGCTGGCGAGTAGAAGTGGCGACCCGCGGGTCAGCGTAGCGGAGGACGCACGGGGCAGGGAAAAGAGAGCGCAGTCCCTCTGCTTGCGAGCGGCCGCAAGGACTGCCGGGAAGAGTCTTGTTCTCGCCAATGTTTCAGACCCGGATGTCTACAGAGGCAGTGATACCAGCGCCGCCACTCCCAGCTCTCCTCTCTGCACCCCACCCTCGCACCCCTCGTGCATGGAACCTACGTTACCTTGCCCAGGGCTCCGCTCATCCTTTGCTGCTGCGGCGTATAGTTATGCAAGTCGAAGATCCGCTCTAGCAGCCGCGATCCCTGGGCGGGCGGCTGAAAACACTGACGGAATGGCTTTGATCGGTCCAGTAACAATATCCGACCGAGTCTCACTTAATTCCCGCAGTACTTTGGTTCCGGAAGCTCCGTAGATTTAGTGCCTAGAAATAGAAATCCCCCAAACTCTTCTCCCACTGCAGCTCAAGTGTAACCTTCACTGCTGTTTCTCCAGGTAGAATTAATTGCCGTCTCTGTGTTGCCCCACTACTTTGCACACAACTGTGCTGTCACCTACCATGTTGCTGTTAATTGCCGTCTAGTCGGTTCAGACTTATAGCGATCCTACCTACAACAGAACGAAACACTGCCCCATCCAGCGCGCCATCCTCACATCGTTGCTGTGTTTGAGCCTATTGTTGCAGCCACTGTGTCAATCCTTCTCGTTGAGGGTCTTCCTCTTTTTTGCTGACCCTCTACTGTACTAAGCATGATGTGCTTCTCCAAGCACTAGTACCGCCTGATAACATGTCCAAAGTACGTGAGACGAAGTCTTGCTGTCCTCTCTCCTAAGGAGCTTTCTGGCTGTCCTTCTTTCAAGACAGATTTGTTTGTTCTTCTGGCAGTCCAGGTATGGTCAATATTCTTTGCCAACACCATAATTCAAAGGCATCAATTCTTCTATGGTCTTCCTTATTCACTGTCCAGCTTTGGCATGCATATGAGGCGATTGAAAATACCATAGTTTGGCTCAGGCACACCTTAGTCCTCAAAGTGACATCTTTGCATTTTAACACTTTAAAGAGCTCTTTTGCAGCAGATTTGCCCAATGCAATGCTATATATTAATTATGTGTTACCATCTCTTCCCAATATTTATTGTGAGCTCCTCAAGGACTGAGGTCCTGCCTGATTAATTCATTCCAGGATCTAACACGGAGCTAAAGATCTGACTTCTAACCTCGATTTAAGAGCTGAATGACCCTAAGTGAACCTGACATTCAATTGCTACATAATAATTGATAATAACTATCTTTTATTAAGTGACTGCTATGTGCAATGATTATGCCCAATGCATCACTTAATTTATTCCTCACAACAACCCTATTAGTGAAATCACTCAATTTTACAGATAAGGACACTGTGGAATCAAGAGGTTAAGTGACTTGTCTGATGTCAATCAGGTGAGGCAAAGCTGTGTTTCAGACTCAGTCTCCGTTACTGCAAAGTGTTTACCCTCTGACACATGCCTTCTTACATGAGATAATAATGTCACTGCCTACATTAATTACTTACTTTACACACATCAACTGTTTACTTAGTACTACTTAGTGCCAGTCCTTCGGCTGAACCCTGGGAACACAGAGATGAACATGACATAGTGCCTGACATTATGTAGCTCATAGAGATGAGTGGGGAGGCAAAGTCATAAACGGGCAATTATAAAACAGTGTGAAATTCCAGTTACAGAGGTATACACACAAACTTTGTGAACAAAGGGAACACATGCAATTATTGTTATTGTTGCTGCTGATACTATTCCTGTTATTATTACTGTTGTTCTTGGCAAGAAGAAGGTGTAGAAATTGGTCAGTATGAATGGGGCTTCGATGATAGTTTGCTTTGTTGTCACAAACCCTGAAAGGATCCCTTATCCTAATATTTTGTCAATTTTTCCTATAATTAAATTCCAAGGGGCTGCAAACAGAGATAAATAAGGTAAACCAGTTTCCTCCAAAGGTAGCCCTTCTCCCTTTTGGGGCAGAGTTGCTAGGAGACCATGTGAAGACATAAGTTGTCATACCTCCTCCACCACAGTAACTGATCATTGCTGTCATGGGTATCTAAAAGCTATGAGGATTTTAGATGTGAATTTTTAAATAGGAAAAAAATAAGCAAACATCTATCAAGTGCTTAGTATGTGTCATCAGGTCTTCTCAGCTATTTGAGCTCATTCAATCTTCCCAATAAGCCTGTGAGGCTAAAGATCATTACACCTATTTCACAAATGAGGAACAGAGGCACTAAAAAGTTACCTAGTTAACTTAAGGTCACATTGTAAGTGGTGAGCTGTCTGATTGCAATGCCTGTGCTCCTTCTACTCCATAGGACTGCAACTATAGATTTCCAAAAGGGTGAGTTGGCTAGGCCAGAAAGTGTTTTTTTCCTTGCCTAGTCCAGGTAAATGCAATCTGGTAAGATACAAATCCATTTTTGTATACTCCAGTGGTGAAGCTGTGGGGGGAGAGAGAAGAAGATGTGGACATTAGGTTTTTGTATGAATGTACAAGGATTCCCAAGACTCCTAGAGTACTTCAAAAGTTTAGAAATCTAGGACCCAGAAGGGAGACGAAATCAGTAAAGATACCTGAACAATATCCATGAATGTATAGGGATGGAGAATATTGTTGCCAGACTCTGCTGATGGTGTCATGTGTTATAATGGAATGTGAGCCTACTGAACTTCCCAGAAGGACACTTCCATACAGATGTGATCAGAAATCCTTGCATATCCATCATTCTGTGGCTTTTCTGACTTATTTTAAGTATCTCCAGCCTCAAAAACTAAGACCTTCTTGGGGAGAACAAGAGAGTTCCACAGGCCACTCTCCAGGTACCAATGTTCCTGCCTTCTTGCTTCATCCTTCTATAGATGGATGATAAGCTCCCCAAGGTCAAGGATATACCTTATTCATCTTTGCATCCTCAGCATCTAGCCCAGGGCCTGGCCCATGGTAATACACATCTGCTGAACTGAACTAAACCTTCCTCCTCTTCTTTCTCCTTTTTCTCCCACCTAAAACCCATTTACACTACGACATTTCTTGTCAGCATACAGGAGTGGGAGAATGTGCATGGAAGTTGGACTTCAGAGCCAGATCTTAGATCCAATCCTGCCTTGGTGTGGTTTTGAAAAGAGAGAAAGAGGGCTGACTGTTCTAGGGACTTCAGGTTTGGCTAAAATGTAGATATAGAAAAGAAACTGGTGGTAAACGAGGCTGGAGAAGCAGTTTAGATAACTCTTTTGCCATGCTAAAGAGTTAGGGAGGCTTTGACAAGTCAGGATCCAATGAGGAATGGGATGGTGGAGGAGAAAAAAGAGCCAGGGAGAGCAGCCAGAAGATGAAGGTAGTAATTGAAGTGAGAAGAAGGAGGGTCTAAGGCAGTGATAGAGATGGAGAGGAGTCAATATGAGAGATGTTAAGGAGATAGAATGGGCAGGATTTGGTGACTGATTAGATGAAGGACATTCTGAGTTATAATCTGAGATGGGTATTTAACCATAGGTCTACAACTAGGTAGCAGATAAGCCAGTTTCCCATTCTCCCAGGCCTTTGGCTTGCTGCTGCCCCTCTCTTTACTTTCTGGAAGCACCTATGGCAATCAGCCTAGAGTGGGAAATAGACTGAGGCTTACCAAATCCCATCTGACCTCCCTAGTGATAGACACAGAAGGAAAGGGGTGGAACATTTGAATGCTACTTTTAAAAGACTGTCTGAAGTAAATTATTTAGGCCTAAATTCTGGATAGTTTTGTCTTTCATGATGAGTTGATGTTGGAAAAAAGGCAGCTATGACAGTAGGGCTAAGGAAGAGAGAACCAAATACTAATTTGTGATCACTTCACTTTTAAAATGATTTAACAAATCCCTTTCTCCCTCTCCATTCTTCATGCTGCCATCAGAGTGATCTTTCTAAACATAAATCTGACTATGTCACTTCCCTGCCCAAGGTCATTTAATGGCTCCCACAAACTGTCTATAGCAGTGTTATCCAATAGAACTTTCTCCAATTATGTAAATTCCTATATCTGTACTGTCCAATATGATAACTACCAGCCACATGTGACTGTTGAGTAATTTAAGTGCAACTAATGCAATTTAGGAACTCACTTTTAATTTAATCTAATTTAAATGTCACTGGCCACACGTGGGAAACCCTGGCGGTGTAGTGGTTAAGAGCTATAGCTGCTAACCAAAAGGTTGGCAGTTCAAATCCACAAGGTGCTCCTTGGAAACTCTATGGGGCAGTTCTACTCTGTCCTATAGGGTCGCTATGAATTGGAATCGACTCAATGGCAACGGAGGGCCACATGTGCATAGTGGCTCCCTATAGTGGCCTATAAGATAAAGTCCAAACTCTGGAATGTGACATACCAAGTCCTTTATTCTCTAGTGCCTGCCTACCTACCTAGTCTTATTTTCTACCCTTTTCAACACAAATATTACTCCTCAGCCAAAATAAAATTCTTGTAGTTCGCCAATCATGATACACTTTGTCACATCTCCCTGCCTTTGCACCTGCAGTTCCCTCTGCTGAAACGACCTTTCTTTACTCATTCACCTGGAAAACTCCTACTCTTTCAAGACACAACTCAAATGCTACCTTTCCTATGAAGCCTCTTCCAACCCCTTCACAGGAATGACGTGGTCCCTTCTCTGTACTTCCACAGCCCATTTTTCAAGCCCTCAACACAGTGTATTATAATTATTTGTTCATTTGTATATCTTCCCTCACTAGACTGTCAGAATTTTAAAAGGAATATTCTTTCTTTTTCTTTGTATCTCCAGAATTTACGAGGCTTCAATAAATGTTAGATGAAATAATTAATGAATATTAAAAAGTTCCTTGCTATCATGGATTTTAGATTTTTCCAAGATCTTGCACCCCAAAAAAAGCATAGAGATACTTTGCCTTTCTGGTTTTATTTTTATAAGTCAGCCTTCTTTAAAAGCTTTAAAAAAAAACCTGCTCCAGCCCTCAGCACAACCACATCAGAGAAAGCCTTAGGGAACATGAGAGAATAAAAGGAGACCCTTTAGAAGATTATGTTTGATCTCAAGTTGAACTTCCTTAAAACTAACAATTTTATGGTCACCTTTTTATAGAAAGTTTCCCAACAGCTCCAAATAGCTTTAATTTATGGCTTAAGCTACCTCAAATTGAAAACTACTTTAGCTTCAATGGTAACTTTTTTTTTTTGATATGGTTTTGTTACAAAGAAAATCATACTTAAAAGAAGAAAGAGATAAAAGGCAAGAGCTAGAAGAGAGCTAGCTAACTGGGAAAACCCAGCT